TACAGTTATTTCACATTTTTTTACTTACGTATTTTGTTTATATGTCATCTTGTACTACATTGTAATCTACATAAAGCAGGGAGTTCTGTCTGTTAAATACTAAGTCCTTGGTTCCTGAAAAGGGCCTAGTCCTTGTGTGATGTTCAAATACTTTGTGCTGAATTTTCTCATATTTTTTTCTTTTCCCTTATTTCCTTTATGAGAAAATGAAAAAATGGAAATAAAGTTTTTGTAAATAGGGAAGGGTAGAGGGGCTGAAGATAGGGCAGGATATGGGGGAAAAAATGAGAACCAAGACCTGTCATGTAAAAGAACAAGATCCCAATGATGAATATAATTGTACTATATACCTAAAAAGTACCAATAAACTCAATAAAAAAAAACACTTTGTGCTAAACGAATGGATAAGTATAATGAAGAGATAAACAGCTTGTAATTGAAACACCTCATTTTGACATTAATTGGATCATATTGATATTTTTGATGGCCGGAGAATATCAAAATGACTTAAAGCTTTAGAATGAATTCTTCTCAAAAGCTACTGATGCAGCCATCTGAAGAAATCAAATATGAGGTAAGATATCCACAGGTTAATCTTTAACATTCTGAAGATCTAATTCTGAATTCCAGCTTTAATATGTTAAGTATGCTTTTTTTTGCATAAACCAAGTAAATATTATTTCCTAAAATCAGCTCTAGATTTATGCATTTTATTCATGGTATTTATTCTTGGGCGGCCTCTGCTGCAGTTTGTTACAAAGAGAAATTCTATAGACTTAGAAGAACTAAAGTGCTGCTCTGTTGCCAATGCAGCATTGTGGTTCTGGAAAAAAGCAACTTTTTTTCCAAAGGTATAATGATTTAGCTCAAAGTTTAAATTTGTGTGGTATCAGTTTCCTCACCCTATAGTCATAAATGTCTAAAGATTTCTGTTCTGGAACAGGTGGTGAAGTGTGGCAAGGGAGAAGCCAAGTGATCCCCTTCATCATGTTGTTAGTAGTCATTAGTAGAATAAAAGTGAGTCACAAAAGGCAACTTATCCAGACCCTGTCTTAAAGTAAAAAATAAAAAGGGATGGGGGTGTGTGGCTCAGTGGTAGAGAGTCCTTGGGCTCAATTACCAGTACTGAGGGAAAAAAACACAACACCAGAATACAATCTTTATCTAAATGTTAAATTTTATGAATATTTAAAATAACAAGATAAGTTGAATCCATTTTACAATCATAATTTGTTATATTTTTTCTTGAAATTTAAGTTTAAATACAGTATAAAGCAACATTCCCTGGACTATCACCCTCCTCATCAGATAACCTCTGTACATCATGCAGAAGTAGTATTTTTATCTACACACAGGGATCTGACTTGGTATTCTTTGCTACAACTGCTGCTTAGTCTTTAAAAAAAAATAAATTCCCAAAATAAAACAATGGTTTGGAAAATTTTCCTTTAAAAAGGATCTTATTAGATTGATCCCCAGTGTCATTTAGGCAGAGACACAAGAGCAGAGATTCCAGGGCTGCTATATTTTATGCACAAATGGAAGGATAATGAGAATAAACACATGCTTGATCTGTGCCCCAGAGCTCAGTGTGGCTAAAGCCAAGGCTGCATCCCAAGTTATGGTCTGAGCCCCCATCCAATCCCAACCACCAAAGTAGGAAATTTAAATGCTCTCAAAGACTGAACTAAGATAAACAAAAACTTCTTCAGTCACTTGCTTTACAAATCCTTGGAGAGCCCATTGAGTTTGGATCATGAAAGCAGAGCTCAATTTGTACTTTTGATTTTTCCCAATTCCACATTTTTAAAAAGTATTCCTTCACTACCTCTCTGTGCAGAAGGCAATGAGATTGCTTTGTTTCCCAACTGACCTATTCATATCAAGTTAGTTACACCCACTGAACTGCAACCCCCAGTTCCAGGGAGCCCTCCTATGGAGCTAGGAACTGGTACAAAGACTGTTGTTTATTATAGAGAATCGAATCACTCAATGCCAGAAGACATTCTTTCTTTTTAAAACATGAGCAAAATACATGGAGGTTGTTAAAAACAAATCATTTTCCATTAATAAAAGTTACATGATTGAAAAAAAAAAAAAAGCAGAGCACATTGCTGTAATTACTGGTACATTAGGCAGGGGAGGAACAGCTGTGTGAACTTGGAGTCCATAGAATTACAACCACCAAGCCAGCTTCCCCATATGGTCCAAGAGAGGAGGTAGGGCTTCTGGCTGCTGGTGGGTTGAGCAGGGGGCAAACTGGAGTCCCACTCAAGTAAGAAACTCATGCCAAAAAATGTCTGGCTTTCTAATCCAAACCCAGCTTCCTCTGGGCTGCAGTAGAAAATCCCCCTGGTCTCCATAACAAAAACCTCTAAAAGCAATGTTGTTTTTTCCTAAAGAGAGCAAAAATGTAAGCATTTTCAGACATTTGGCTTCACTGCTACTAATAGAAAAGCGACCTCAGAAAGACTGAGTCACCCCCTCCTCTTTTTTGGGGAGTGGCTTTAACCAGGGATAATTGGTATCACTTCATAAACACTATATTTGATGTAACATTTGCCTTCTCTCCCAATTTAGAGCAGCATGTGGCCAACAGTGACAGATCCCCACAACCAGGTATTGGTTTCGTCTCTTATAGTCAAAAGCATTTTAATTATCTAATTGGCATTTGCTCTAGAATGTGGCAAATTTGGTAAGAGCAGATCAACACTATAGTAACCATTCATTATCAATGCATATCCTAAACGGAAAAGCATTCCATTCTTCTTACATGGTGTGTCATAAATTAGACACAATACATTTTATTGTGAAACCTCCGCAGAAGACATTCCTGAAAGAGCAGGGCATAAAACATTGCCTTATACTACACAGAGCTAAAATTTGATAGTTGTTGGAAGGGTTTGCTATAAGAAATCCAGCTATTTACAGGAGGAAATACCAAATAGGCTACATCTTTGAAGGAGAGGTTTTCTGTGAGTACCATGTCCAAAACCATTCTGGTTTCCACTATATGAAAGTTATTATCAAAGAGGATGGTGACCAGCTGTTCTTCATCACCACTGAAAACAGAATGGGGGGTGGCATTAAAATGGAATTCAAGGAATTTGAGCTTCCTAAAATTTTGAGTGAGTTAACAGGACAGGGAGCCACACCAGGGAGTTATATAATAGATGTCTTTCATTTGCTATTGCTTGCTCCTTTTTTTTTTCTTTTTTGTAATAAAAAGGCATTCAGAAACAGTTCAGGTACAAATTTGTCCATCAGTAAAATAGTAGAGTTGAACATCTTATAAACCATTTCCTGAAAAAAAAATTTTAAGTACTTTAACTATGGGAAATTAGGCTATATATTGAGTGTAACATATTAAGTTGCATTTCATTATCGTGAAATCTTGTAAAATAAGGTCTCCTGTTAGAGATATGTGCCTTTCACATTGTAAATTCAGGCAGACATATTCCAAGACAGGCTATAATATTTTCCCTGTGGGTTAATACTTGATTGTCTAAAGATATGTCTAAATTTCAAAAGAAAAAGAACAGTGATCATTTCAAATAATACGTACTAAAGTCTCTTAGAAAATTATTAGATAGGTAGGTAGAAAAAAATAGATGGATATAGCAATGTTTGATAGGTATTAAGGTTTCCATGTGGGCACTATACTTCAGGAATTTATAACTATATCCTAGAAAGGTTCTGAGATATCAACCTGCAAGCCTTTCATAATACAGCAGCTGTGGGAAGGACATTCATTTCACACACAGAGTCTATCTGTCTTTGCCAGGCCTCTGGGCTCAATAGTATGCACCCTTTTATGTTTGCCATCCAACTTCAGTGAAAATTTCTTCTGGATCTCTTTCTGGATCCCCCATGAGACCGAGCTGCCCTTCAGCAATCAGTATATTACCAAGGCCTGCACTTGAATTTGAGCATCTCTGTAGACAGAGAATCAGAAATGAGGGATTACTGGATTTCACTCTGAAAGTTTTTCTTCTCAGATCCCATAAAAGAACATTGCTTTCATCTTGGATGATTTGCAGCTTCTCTGACAGCTAATGTTTATCTTTGTGACCCATGTTTTCTGTGGAAAAGACACAATTTGTAGGTAACTTTAAACTTTTAATTTTTTTTTCCAAGCAGTAGAATGCAGTTTCACTATATAAGTGCATCTTGACTAAAACTTCCCGGGCATTTAGGCCATCTGCCATGACCCTCTGCATAAGTTTAAGCAGACTCATTTCTGCCAAGTTACTGTATTGGTTACTTACTTCTGGAAATATCCAGCTATTTCATTGGGGACATAATTTACATGACCATCCAAATGGTTAACAGGGTCCGCAGCTATAAGTAATGTTATTATTTTTCTCTTCTCTTTATCTTTCTGTGCAGCAGTTCCAAGGATCCTCTACCCAGTTCTCCTCCCTACAAAAACATTTTCTCTCATATGATTAGAATCAACTTCTGAACAAGAAGCAGTTAATCATGGTAGTTAAGAACACTGACTCTGAACGCTGATCCATTGGGCTCCAATTCGCACTTTGCATCTTTACAGCTGTGTGTCCTGTGCATCAGTTACGTGACTTCTTTGAGCCTCTAGTTCTTCCTGATAAAAGGGAGATTTAGGAGTGTCTCCCTCATGTGATTTTGAGGATTTTCAGAACTTGACCTTGCTTGAAACTCTGTTAGGCGAGCAGAGGAAAAAGAGGGAAGGAACGATACACCCCAATATAAGACAATGAAGATGATACTCATTACTCTTCTCACAATAGGAAAACCACCATGCTCTATGTGTTTCTAGCAGTGTACCAAGATGTTAAGTCTGATTTCAGTTTGAAGCAAAGACAGATCTTCTCCTTGTAAAAATGAGACACTGGATGAGATAGCCCATGATTACCAGCTGCTGGGAGCAGGGATGGGGAGAATGCCAAATGAGGAATTCCACACATCGCCTCACTTATACTTTGCTCTCCTAAACAGAGTTTGAATAAATAGATGGAAAGGATAAAGATAAGTGGAAGGTAAATTCCCAGAAATTCAACAACTGAAGTTTAGACCCTTCACTTCCCCTTCACAGAGTTTAGAGACTTCCTTCATCCTCCAACTCTTTCAAGACCAATTGTAAGCATGGCTGTATTCACTCATCAGTTGAATAGGCATTAGTTGAGCACCTACTGCGTGTCTGTTGCTCTACCCGGCAGAAGCTGGGGAGAAAGTTTGAGGGTGAAGGGTGTGAGGAAAGCTCTAGATTTGAAAAGATGAATCAAAGGCACTCTTCATCCTCAAGGAACTCATCACCCACACATAAAACAAATGCCTCAAAGCAGCCAGAGACCAGCGTGAAGATCAGGAGATGCTTGAGAAAATGAGGTGTACAGAAGAGGTCAAGATGGGCCAGGAATTCAGCTCAGTGACGCCACACCTACCTCACAAGCTTAAAGTCCTGAGTTTGATTCCCGGTACCAAAAAAAGAAGAAAAGAAAAGATCAAAAAGGAAGTGTCCAGTTCCGCTTAGGAAAGACAGGGAAGTTTTCTCCAATGAGAAGATGTTTTATTTTAGGGCTACCGGAAATATAGAAATGAATAAAGGGAAGCAAGGCAATGGGAAGCAGCCTATATAAGCGACCAGGGCTGCGAAGAATGAGGGGCGCTTGAACCAAGCGTCCTGACGCTTATAGCTGGGACGTAGGACGCGGTGCTGCAGTACGGTGTTTGCAAACCTAGGCATGACCCAGCTATCTTCAAAAGGCCATGATGACAGTATGGTAGAAGGTCACTGATGAATTCTATTGCTCATGATTTCATCCCTTGGAGGAAGGAATGGAGAGTCCAAATTTGCTGACAGCCTCGGGGCATTTAAATGATGAATGAGCTATTTTTCTTAAGAACCAGCTTCGGGGAATTCTGGAAGACAGAAGCAAGATATTCTTTCCCATTTGGCCTGGGCCTCTCTAAGCATCTTGGAAGAGACAATTCTTAACACCACAAAAGAATACTACTTTATAGTCACACTGCTAACCTCAACTTTATTGAATGTATAGTCTTTATTTAAACATTACCTAAATCAAATAAGGTAACATAATTCTCATGATTTAGGAAATAAATTTTATTAAACAATCTTTAGTTAATACTGAAAATATTCTTACTCACCCCAAATCCTGCCAGTCAACTTTCCTGCAAAATAGGCATTAGTATAAAGCAATGAAATGCACCTTTTACACTTGTGACTCTGTGAAACCAAGTGCAAAAGTCAGTCTCCAGAGCTGCAGAATTATATTATCATCTACTTAATGAATGTTTACCACTGGTATGGCAGTTTAAGGGTGGGTGGGAGGATATCTTTCATGTCCCCTTGGAGTTTATAGAATAGTGAATTTAAATATAAAATACAACAACACAAAACAAAGGCCTTTCAGCAGATATCACAGAAAAAGAGACTCCAGTCTGAGAAAGCATCTCAAAGGCCATGCTTGGAGGTGAAGATATGAGAGAGGGTCCAAGGAGAGAAAAAACAGTGACCCACCCTTCGGTAAGTGGGTCCAGAGGCTTAAACCAATGTGGGTTGTGAAAAGCTACTGAGGAACCTTGAAGAGAGATTTTATTGCTAAATTTCAGGTCAGAAAGAGAAGCATACTCCTGCAACTTGGACTTTAAGGTGCCAAGTCAGGTGAAATAATGCTAGATCATGGTGGCTTTTACCAGAAAAGTTGTATCCAGACACTTAGCCTATAAGCTCATGCTACAATTAAAATCATTAGACCCTCCAAAGACATGTTTGAAACAATAGTAGAGTCTGTAGTAAACACTATGATATTTGATTCTCTTTCATCTTTTTCATGTAATAGAGCTATAAAAACTGATCGGGATTAGTCCTACCAATATTAAATTTGATAGGACTTAACCAGTTCAGGTCTTCATGGCTCTGCTGCACAGATGAAAAAGGTCAATTATTACAGCATTTATTTTACTTCTCCGGTTTCTCAGAAAGCAGCAGGAAGCAGGATCCAGGCTTCTCCAAAGAAGACGGAATCTGAGTCAAGAAACACACCATGTAGTAGATGTTGAGCTATATCCTGCATCTTCTTGCTCATTAGTAAAGAGCAAACATAACAACAAAAAAGTAAGTTCCTGACATCTGGAATTATTATTTAAGAAGCTGAACTACCAGCAGGTGAAGCATTTTAATCTCAGACTCCACCACTTGTTAAACCTACCCAATTCCTTCAGCATCTGTGAACAACTCTGTGAAAGGAATTCTTAGGACAAATAAATGGGGGCAGGTGTAAATTAAAGGAGAATAACACCTGTTTCTGCAGCTGGCCCACAGACCTCGCTTTAATGTGCTGTCTGCTGGGAAACTGAGGCGTCTCATATTACCCCCGAGGCCTTAATCTACACAGGAGTCTGGAGAAAGGAATTCTGTGACCATGAGATGTGAGGCTTGGTCTGTGGCCAAAAACAATGGTGAAAGGTACAAAATGAAAAGTTCTGTCTGGACAAAAGCACTTAATCACAAAACAACATGAAACTTGGCTGTTTGAAGAAATGAACCCCAAACCAAAGTCAGAACTGGATTAACAATTGGTTAATCCCCTTTTACCTTCTAATACTTCTCTGGCTGGTGATTGCTTGTTGAAATCAGCGTTCAGAGAGCATAGCCGCCAGCAGCATACAGTGTCTTCATTTGGGGCTGGTTCTGGCTGCTGTTGGAAAAGCAACTTGCAAGATTTATGCTCCTCTGCCTTCCATCCATATTTTTTTCCATTAAAGGGGAAATTTAGAGCAAAGTTACCAATGTAACTCCAACCCACTGCTGGAGAAGTCCTCGCTGACTTGCAAAATAACTGTGGCTTCAGCAGAATCTCATGCCCAATAGTAATAGAGGTGAAGCCCGTAAAATCTGTGTGCACATATTTTTTAGAAACAGGAGAAAAAAGCCTGTAATTAGGTCTGTGTTCAATCTAGAGATTGGTGTACCCCACAGAGCACACCTGAATTTGAATAATAGGGACAGATAATATGGAAGAGATTCCAAGCAAAACTCAGAAGAGTCTCTCTATTAAGCTTTAGATCTTCATGCAATACAAAGACCACAGAGAAGCTACCAAAGTTAATGAAGAAATATAAAGTACAGAGATGCTCCAAGTTAGAGGAGAAAATCACTTTTCAGGATCACAAATCACAGAACCCTAAATGTCCTCAGTATGGCTGGAAATAAAGATAGGCTTGCAAGATTAAAGCACATAATATCTGCAGGCCAGTAAGAGATTATAACTTTCTCTGTTATTCACAGAATCTGGAAATCATGTAACAGGAGGCAAAGGCACTTATGGCCAATCAGAACATGGATAAAATACAACAATGTTCGAAAGGTATCAGTAAAATGAAATGCACAGTGAGCCCTAACTCACTGAAATCAATCTGGGGTGTGGTGAAGGGTGGTATTTAGAGGTCGGGAATGCCTCATGCAGTTTTAGAGGCCACTGCACAGTGGGGGTCAATGAAGCAGGAAGTGAAACTGTGGACACCAGTGCCAAGACTTCTTCTCTTTGACTTTGCGGATGTGGGTTCTGACTATAGCAGATGGAATTTACTGGGTCAACAGTATGTGAAATGAGAAGGAAGCCCACACCCAAGGAGTAAGCAAGTACCCTGGGTTTCCAGTCCCAAATATTTTGGCAGGGAATTCAGACATTGTGGATCATTCATGGAAAATGCAGTGCACTATTTTAAAACTGCCAAAATATTTATTGCCATTTTCTGTTGTATACAAGTATGCATGAAATTTCATTGTTACCTTGAAAAACAAATGATTCCAATCCACTAAACTTTGTCTTAATATTTTCGTTCATGAATTAATGACAGGGAATCTACTCAAGAAAACACATGACGTATAGGTTCTCAAAGTCAGTATAGATGATTCTCTGGATTTCGGCTGGGTCTGTTGTAATTTCACCCTTTTCATTCCTAATTGCATGGATCTGGGCCTTTTGTTTCCTTTTTTGGATAAATTTGGCTAAAGGTTTAGCTATTGAGCTAAATGGATGCACACTGAGGTGATACTCTTAAGTGACATAAATAGGACACACGTGTAAATACTGAATACTTTCTCTAGTGTGAGAAACAAAGTGTAAATAAGTACTAAAAGGTATAATAGATAATGTGAAATAGGAAGAAAAGGTGCAAAGGGGAAGTGGGAGGGGTAGGGGAAAAGAAAGAAGACAATGGAATTAATAGGAGAAAAGGAAAAAATGGAAACAAAATCTTTGTAGATAGGGAGGGCTGGAGATATCGAGGGGAGAGCAGAGGAATGGGGGAAAAATAAGAATCAAGATAGATTAGGTAAAGGTGCAAATTTCCAATGATGAATGTCATTACACTGTATACCTTAAATGTACCAATAAAATTAATTAAAAAGGAAAACACGTGACATAATACATTTCATTTTCTAATGACTCTCTTCCCTGAATAACCCTTGGGAAAATTATAATTTCCTCTCTCTCTCCCCTCAGATTTAGTTCATGACTTCTTTGTATGTGTGACTATATTCTACCCCCATCACCATAACAATTATTGGAACCTATCTATACTACAAACTTTTCATTATAAACAACAAACCCCCAATATCAGCACTGACTCTCAGAATGTGATGTGGATTTGCTTGGGCATTTTCACTGAGTTTAAAAACACATCATTATGTTTTCCTAACTGTGGTGAATAAGTATGCATTCAATTTATATCATGTCATTTGCTGTATACTCTGCTAGAAAGCAGAATGGAGTCAAACAACAATTGAAACAGAGACACATTTTATGATTTCTTAGCACTTTCCAATTATTTATTTTCATCAAGTCTTCCGCCAAGTATTAGTTTCTCATGTAGAATGTAATTTTTTTGATAGAAAAAGAAAAAAAATCACTAATACATTGCTTCTGTAAGGCTACCCTGTGAAGTCACAAATTTCTAGTAAACAGATTTTTCTTTTATTTGTGGGTTTGAGAAGTCATGTGAGACTTGAAAACTGATACTTTTCTCAAATGTTGTTCTACCTTGGAGAAACTGTCTCACCATTCCAACACTGCATTTGCAGTAATCAGTTTAAAGTACCAACCATAAGTCTTCTCAATCTGACACTATATAAATAAAATTATATTTTTAAAAGCAAAAGATTGGCAGGAAACATAAGCCTCATTTACTGACAAGCTTAGAATAGCTTTTTTTTCAGAGCACAGTTTTGTGATTTTGTCACTTTTGATATGTTCTGCAAGGTAAAGATTATAAATTAGTCTATCATCTTTAGCGGCAAACTGCTTATTTGTCATATGGTTCAAACAGCCTATCTAAAGCAAACCCAATTTATAGGCCAACTCAAGATGACTGTGCAATTTCTGGAATGTTGATAGCAGACTGCCATCACAAAATATTACTTGTAAAGTCCAACGCTGTTCTTCACATGTAAGAAAGATTAGCCAAGTGTTTCTCAGACAAAAGACTAGAGTTCTAATTTCAGAGCTATTCTTGAACGACACCTAATGAAAATAGTCTTCATAGAATGAAAAGAGAGGAAAACTGATTTCAATTCTTTCATAGATTACTCTTTTTAATGAAATATATGTCTGCCTCTTGGTAAAGCCAGGTGTGAATTTTCAAATAATTTATTGTGCACAGACAAACCATGGCATATAAACGTTTCAGTTCAATTCCATAAACAGGGATTAAATATCTCAACTCACTAGGTGAAGTCTGGGATACAAAGATAAATAAGACATTCCCTGATCCCAAGAGAAAAAGACAGAGCTACATATATAATTCTGCTATGACACAGAAAGTTTTAAACAATTATTGAAGTTATAAACAAAGTCCTCTGAGAGAACCAAAGAAAAAGCAATAATTTCCAGGTGAAGCTAGGATGTGTTTGAAATGAATTAACATTTGACCCATTGCTTGACAGTTCAATAGGATTTCAGTTCAGTTTCTGTGCTACATGCATTACCAGCAAGGTGAAAGCTGCTTGTTAGCGACCCAAGAGTTGGCACTAATAGCAAGTAAATATAGAAAACAATATTGCTTCCATCTCAACCTCTACCAACAACCTCTCACCAAATTTGCCCATGCTATCCTTGACAATGAATACAGATTTTTTAAATGCAGTACTTATTTTCACAGTTTGCATATTTAACATTCCTGATATTTTTCTTATTGAAGAGCTTCTCTGACTTTCCTAGGATCACTTACTCCTTTTGTTTTGACTATTTGTAAAATGTTGGCATTCTTGGGTACCAAGACCCTAACTGTTCTCACTCCTTCCATATCTTTAGTTTGACCTATATGCCAGTGAATCTCAAACCTACATCTGTAGCCCTGATCCTTTGCAAGGGTCCCATGGGCCATCACTACTTAATTTATAATCAACAATAAAGAAATAATGCAATCCTGACATTAATTCCTCTTGACTACTTTCTAAATCAATATACCTTTCTCTGCCCCTTTAATAAAGAATCTAGTAAGATCAAAGCAGCTGCTCTCAAGAAGTTCTTAAATTTTTCTTATTGCTCCTACTTCCTATAGTCCTGAGTTTATATTTTATACTTCTCATTATAGCCAGAGTAATTCTTCCCAATACAAGTATGATTCTATCACATCTTGTATTAGAGTTTTCTAGATGAACAGATTCCATGTAAACTATGTGTATGATTATCTAGGGGATTCCTTAGTTGGGCTCACAGGATCAGAAATGAGAGTCCCATTTGCCATCTGCAGGACCAGAGATGGAAGAATCCAAAATGGCCCCATGAAAGCTGAAGAATGAGATGTAGTTGCAGTGCAAGGTCTAAGGCCTGGGAGTTCAATAAAGAGTCACCACAAGTCTCTGTTTTGAAAGCCAAAGGGCCTGCATAGGAAGGCTGAAAGAATTGAGACTAATTTCCAAGGCAATGACAATGACTAGAGCTCCTCTGAAGAGCAGGGAAACACTTTCATTTTCTCTTTTTATCCTGTGGAAACTACAAGCCTATTGGTCTGTGCCACCCTCATCCAGGGTGAGTCGTCTTCTGCCCTCAGCTTGAAGGCCAACATGTCAATCATCCACAGAGACAGCAGAATTTACTGAGTGTGGTCCTCACACTGATCAACTTTACATAGAATCCGGCAGGCAGAAAACGCCTAGTTTGTGTGTGTGTGTGTGTGTGTGTGTGTAGCTCCAGAACTAGTATTCTAGCAATTTCAAGGTATGGTTAGGAAAATGAAGCTGGCCAAAAAGACTGATCCAAATGACAAATGCTAAACAAGGAATTAAAGTATTTTTAAAAGTAATACTTTAATTTTGTTCCATCATTAATCTGAAAACAAAGCAGATTTGTTAGCAGAAAAATTATATGAACAGAACAAAGGAAAAAGAAAAGACATCACTAATGCATGTATTTAGAAAATCTTAAAAGAGAGATTGAGCCCAGAGCACCACCCAGCTAACTGGTCCACATGGCAGCTGAACCCTGACCTTGGCCTCACCATCTCTGTCCTCTGACCATATGTGTCAAATGGCTGCAGATGCTTGAACTAGTTCTCAATGTATTTCCCAACGAACAATAACAAAAGAATGACAGGGCATAATTCTCTCCAGTAAGGAAACACTGCTTTACTTATTAATAGCTAAACACTTACCAGTAAATTTGGTTACAATCAATGATAAACAACAATGTACAACTGTTTTAAATCCCTTTCTCGGAAGGGTAGGGGAAAGGTAATAAGGGAAAAGAAAACAATATGAGAAAATGAAAAAATGGAAATAAAGTGTTTGTAAATGGGGAGGGGAGGA